GGGTGTCTAATGAAAAGCTCTAAAGTTCATGCTTAAGTACACACATAAGTGTTTGACCTGTTTGACCTTCAGTAGTAATGACCACCCAAACAGCACCTTCTAAAGTCAATGAAAACCATGCTGTCTGAGGGTCCCTTAATTATAGTGACTGATTTTGGGGGATATTGTCATATACAGATATCTCCCCAAATTGGATTTAAAACTCTTGTGTTTGGTCTCTATCAACAGATTATGTTAAGCTATGCTTATTTTTATCATTTTTGTGTTTGAACGAACCATGGTATTTAGTATGAATGTATCTTTATACTTTATAATATGACTTAATCCATGGCTGTTCAGTTTCTAAGTGGCTGGGGACCCCATGCCCCACAGACTGAACCTGGAATGGTGAGTAAAGTGAAAGGGCCATTAATCCTTCACTGCTGTGTACCACAAAAAGTCCTGCAGAGTCATGTATTAAATAGGACATACAGAGGACATGAGACAGCACTGCAAGCATAGCTCAAGTTTAGTACCTGTACATGATGCAGTTGGGATGTATACATTAGTTGTGCATGAATGATCATTAACAGCTTGCGTTTCTCAGGTAGAATCACATTGCAAGCTAGTTTATGTCAAGTTTACTCTCCTGAAGCTGAGGATTTTGTTTTAATAGTTTGCTCATGCTGTCTAAAAATAAGTTCAATTAGCAGCAGAAATGCTGGCTCTGGTTTTTAAGTGCTCTCAGAGAATGAGGCAGCACATACCACTGAGTTTAAATGTACTAAGCAGAAAACACACAGCGTAAGAGAATAACAGTTCTGGTCATCATAAAAGATTCTGAACGTGGAGTTTATCAGAAATTTGCTCAGAACCTTATTTTCTTCAGAAAATAAACAACAGGAAAAAATCAATCTAAATCAACTTAAATGAAAAAGAACTGGATGGAACAGATTAACAAACAATGTACCTTTAGGTACTATATCAGAGTCAGCAATGGTGACAACTAAGAGAGGATGGTAAGAGACTAGCAGACATCCCACTGAGGATCTAGATGTCACCAGCTACTAGAAAAAACCGCGTTCTGCAGTATGGCATCTGGATCTTGTGGGGGCTTATTTTGCTTCATGAGAACAATCCCTAAACCTATTCCATTGCAACATCTGTAAAATGTACAAACAAGCCACTCAAAATGTATACTGCAGTGCCACCAATAGGAAGGTGTGTTGCACTACTCAACTTGTACACCTAAGCAAGATAAATCATGCCAGTTTCAGGTCTCTTGCAGCTGTAAAAATGGAATAAAGTCTTTTCGGCGTCACTTCTGATTCATATCGGTGTCAGTATCTAAAAAAATGAATCTGCGCTCACCAGATAGTTATCTCCATGTTTAGATTTAAGCATTCGGGTTACATCTTGCAGGTTGTGCAGGTACGTTTCCTCTGAACAGCTCACAGGAAAGGACACAGCAATGATCCGCTCCGTGATGTAAGTTAGGTCAAGTTCATAGCCCTCCTCCATAATGTGATCAAAGTCTGCACTTCTGGTAAGAATTAGATGTGGCAGTTTGGGTGAAGTAGAGGAAAGAAGTGAAGGAAAAAAAGAGAAAGGTAATGAGTAGAAATTTCTACTTGGGTTCATAAAAGGGCATCTATGGCTCCCGATATTTCATTTGAAACTGCAGTTCATAAATGCTGTCAACAAGCAGTAAACATATACCCTTTTGCTATTATCAGTGATTTTTAAACTGGGGCACATGTAACCCAAGGGGGCACATGGTTCTTTGCCAAGGGGTATGTGCCTAAATTTTAATAAATGTGGGGGGGCTTCTGATTGGTCTATGTGTAGTGAATAATGGCATTACCAGACATTGACAGTAACATCCTAAGGGATGAAACAACAACTTTTGAATATTTTTTTTTACCTAGTTTGTTGTGTGTTATAGCAAACAACATATAGTAAATTAATGCACATTCCAATAAAGGTAAATTTATTTTTGCTTCAATCTTAAACTGAACAATATAGCCCTAAGGCCCCTAACCATATCAGTAAAGCTTCTAGTTTCTTTTTACAAGGAGAAAAATTATGTATTATCTGTGAAGATGCACAGAAATCATACGTGCAGACATGCATTGGGTGTAGGGGATACAAACAGCAATATTTTACAGGTAAAATTTGAAAATCCTTGTGCTATATACATTTTAATACACTTCTGAAGGATTTTTTACTGTATTTTTTTACCCTATTTTATCATACAGTGAATCAACCTGTATGACAAACAGAACCAAGGAGGTGATATGACAAACAGAACCGAGGTGATACTTCCCCTCTGTTGGGCGCTGGTCAGACCGCAGGTGGAGTACTGCGTCCAGTTTTGGGCGCCACACTTCAAGAGGGATGTGGATAACCTGGAGAGGGTCCAGAGAAGAGCCACTTGTATGGTTACGGGCTTGCAGGCCAAGCCCTACAAGGAGAGACTAGGGCTCCTGGACCTCTTCAGCCTCTGCAAGAGCAGGTTGAGAGGCAACCTTGTGGCTGCCTACAAATTCATCATGGGGGCACAGAAGGGAATTGGTGAGGCTCTACTCACCAAGGTGCCCCTGGGGGTCACAAGAAATAATGGCCATAAGTTAGCAGAGAGCAGATTTAGACTGGACATTAGAAAGAACTTCTTCACAGTTAGAGTGGCCAAAATCTGGAATGGGCTCCCAAGGGAGGTTGTGCTCTCCCCTACCCTGGGGGTCTTCAAGCAGAGGTTAGATAGGCATCTGGCTGGGGTCATCTGAACACAGCACTCTTTCCTGCCTATGCAGGGGGTCAGACTTGATGCTCTATTGAGGTCCCTTCTGACCCTAACACCTATGAAGCTATGAATCACAAAGGCAGGACTAAAACTCAGAAGATGCCTGGCTCCCCTGCAGTACTCATTCCACCAGCTCCCAGGTGGGAGCATTCAGAAATGTGATAATAATATAAAAGGATCTTAGAAGAAAAGCTTTATATTAACTGCACATGGAAAGCAAACTCTTTCTTACCTGCAATGATAGCCTATCCAAAAGTGGACTGAGGCATGCCAACAGAGTAGGACAGAATATTACACTACTGCTACCTGCACTGCACTGGTTTGGTGTATGCCTTCTGGGCTATGAGTCCATCAGCCTCATGATTACTTTTGGTGAAATACTTTCTTCTACAAAGGGCAGCATAAGGCCTGTGCAACATTTAAATGCCACTTGTGCCTTATACACTGGGGGGAATTGCACCCTTAAAGAATAGGCTTCTATTCAGCCTATGCAATTAAATTGTATTTGAAGTAGGAGCATGAAAAATAAATGAGAATATTCTGCTGCTGAAGGTGCTTATATTAGTTTCATTAAGCCCATAGAGCTTAATAAAGGATTGATCTTTCACATGCCCATGAAAGATCAATCCTACAGCCATTGCAAATTAAATGTCATGCACTTTACCTTCAAAGACAATAAACTAAGTGTCTTTAAATGTGACCTTAGCTTGGAAGGACATGCCCTACTTTGGACCAATTCAAGAGAGCATCACAGGACTGTGATAGTACAACCCAAATGCTAAAGAAATACTTACTGTGATACTTTGTCACAACAGAAGGATGAACTTTTGGAACAACTGCTGGAAGTCTGAAACAAACAAGCCAACACAGGGTTCAGGTTAATGGCTTTCTTGCTAATGAACGTGGCTGCCTTTATGTTTTACAGCATGAAGTTTCTTCATCAAAAAAACCCCCACCACCAACCTGCCAAAAACCAGTCTACCGGCCTGAACCAGCATATGGGCAGTGTAAAGGGGTAATACACTGTGCTGGCCCAGCCCCGCATGCCAGATTGGGCTGCAGAGCACCCCCATGTGCTGGATCCAGCCACACTGACTCTGCATGCCAGCACAGGGCCATGTCACCTGGCCTCCAGAGCTCCACAAAGGTCCAGAAATTTAGCAGCAGGGGAGCTCCGGGAACCATGGCAACTAACATTGCCACACCACTGCACCCCTTCCACCAAATTTCCAGACTCATGAGGGGCCCCCCAGGCTACATTGCATGACTTTGGACACCATATTCAGCCCATGGGACATAACAAATCATCTAGGTTCAGTGGTATTAGACCCATCATTAAACTTGAAAACAATGCTAATGTGTCCTCTTCTTGCCATCACTAAAGAGTTGTCCCCAAAGTGTTTTCTACCTCTAAAAGCAAAATGAATTTACTTCATATTTTGGTATTTTTGTCTCCATTATAGCTTTTTTGTGCTCAGTGACACTGACACTATAGTCACAATGGTTGTTTGGTGTTTATAAATACATTTATCTTCACAGATGTGGCTGGATAACACAATGACAGACTCACAAAGCACTACTGCATTTACACAACTGTAACTCACAGCAGAACAAACAATGTTACCCACATATCTAGTCCATTGCCAAAATACGACGCGTCATAATAACATGATTTTAGACATGTTTTTACCATTAATTCCAAACATAATGGACATTACCAGCGTATGCCAAAATCCATATACAAATCCCTACTGTTTCACATGTAAGTTTCTACTGCAAGAGAAAGACTGTTTACCCAACACTGTTGACATTTGCCATGAAGGTTAGAGAAGGAACTCAAATCCTCCACATTTGAATTGGGATTTCTAGATTGGTGGATCTAGGGTTTTGACTTGGGCCCTATGAAACTAAAGAGATTTCCTCATAATCAACTGATGAATATAATTATTAAATAATTCCTTTATAGTAAAAGAAGTACACAAGATGAATAACTCTCTTACACTTCAGGAACATATATGTTGGAGTAAGTTCTAATTATAATTAAATTTGCTCCATAGGAAATGCATATTCAATTTCTGTAATTATTTTTCATTTTGTATTAACAGAGACTAAGAATTAAAGTGCCCTGTGAGCTTTCAGGGATGAATTAAATGTTAACAAGAAATAATTTGGCAATAGGAAAACATGGAACATTTTAGACTTTGTCCTGCCCCTCGGGTGTTTTTTTTAAACTATATGAACAATTAGTAACTCATTAAGAAGAAGGTTTTTCTCATTCATCTCTCTGCCTGATTTCCACATACAGTACAGAGCAGCACACAGTGAAGTAAGGGTAAATAAAGGCTGGAACTCAGACCAACCAAACCAATATCATTTCTGAAAGCCAAATACTCATGAATGGTTTAATTTACTTTTCATATAAGAAAAAAAAAATCTAAGACACCACTCATGGACTTAGACACACAAAAATGCATAGACTTGGTACATGTCCTTTCCACAATCTCTGGAAATAAGCTACTTTGGAGACTTTAAAATGGGACAAAATGGAAGTGTAACATATGCATCCTCTAGACAGTGAGACCTGGGTACCATATCTGTCAGATGCCAAATGCCTCCTGTGATGTGACAGACATCCTCAACTTCCATTCATTCCAGTGGTAAAAAGTGAGTAAACTTTAAGCAGTGTAGGAAGCTCTCAGTCCTTTTCACAAACTGTCTTTTAAGATAGATGTTCTCAGGGATCGGAAAAATGTACCCAGAACTCACCAACTGCTACCAGCAGTAAATAATTAATAATAATCAACATATAAACAACCCTCAACAATGAAGGCTTTCAAGTAAAGAGATTTGCTGAATGTTCCTCTTTCAGTTGCCTGGTTAACTACTGGTCATCCTGATGGGCAGGGATCCAAGTTTTCCATTTCCCATGGAGTAAAAAGACCCAGAGTAAACTGAGCATTTTAACCTTTTACTGGAGGCAAACACGGATTTCTCATTTTACTAGAGAAATGTGTGGATTTTGCAGTTTTCCGACGAGCCCTCTGCAAAGTGGCAGAGTTCCAGCCTCTAAGGGGCTGGAAGGGAGTGGGAGAAGGGCGGTCAGGCACGGGGTGCCATGTACACGTATATGCACATGGCCGCCAGGCAGTCTGGAGAGCAGCTCCAGCAGCTAAGCTGAGGGATGGGGGGATTGAGGCCCCCCATAGGGAGGGAGGAAGTTGGGCAGAACAGCTGGGGATGCTGCCCAGCTAGGCAGTGCCTAGAACTTGGGGCTTGGGGCTGCAATGTGTGGCTGCAGGGCCCTGGTGGAGAGCAGGACGGGGCCGTGAGCAGCTCATTCAGGGGGGCAGGGCTGGTTCTCTGCTGTGGCGTCCAGTCTGGGGGGGGGCATATGCCCCCAGATATGAGTGTGGGGTGGGGACAGGGTGAGTTTGGATGGGGGGCGGGCTTCTCCATGCTGCAGTGTGTACAAGGCAGGGGCTGCTTGGGCTGCCCTGTACACAAGCTAGGGGCTGCTTGCTGCCTGCTTCAGGCTCGTGCTCCCTGCCTTGCTGCTCTCCCCCGGGGCCTCCGCAGTATGTGTGACCTGGTGCTGCAGGGAACAGCGGAGCCATGCAGGAAGCTGCCTGCGACTGCGAGATCTTTGCTGCCCGCATCCCTTGTGTGCAACCCTGTGCTGCCACTCCTGCTGCAGCTGTGTAGGCAGGGGACATGTTGCTAGGACAGCATGGAGCTCACAGCGGCAGGCAGCTTCCTGCTCAGTTCTGTTATTTGCAGCACAGGGTCACAGAAGCACCAGGGGAGGGCAGCAGGGCAGGAGCCCACCAATACACAGCAAAGATGTGGGGGACATGGGCTCTCCTGACCCCCAGGAGTGTGCACCCACCCCCTCCCCTCCACCCAAGCCCACAACGGGTCGGCAGCAGGCAGCAGGCTGGGGAGCTGGG